ATGCAAAATGGAGTTCAGTATCTCACTGGTGGGCTCACAACCATACACCTGGGTAGGAAATGACCAGCTTAGGTCAAGTGTGCTAGCTGGGGAAGCCAGATAGAAAGTGATTCTCTGTAAATGCTTTGAGATTAAAATATCCTGTGTTCTCTTAGCCAAAAAAGAAAAAAAAAAAAACCACCCACAAACACACATCCAAAGTCCCACTATTTTTAACAGTTATTTTTTTACTCAGTATTTTATGTCAATGTCAACATTATTTCATCTTTTCCACTGATGACCAAAGCATCTTGCTCCATGTTTGCATGCATCCACAACCAAACTATTAGCTCTAATCCCCCCCCGGGCAGACTCATAATACAAAGCTGCTTTTCAACGACCTGAATGTGACAGAATAGGTTCATTTTGCACATTTCTTTTTCATGGAAGTTATCTAGAGAACATTGACCTTCAAAGTCTGCAATTCATCATGTTTTCTTGCTTCAACATAATGTGGTACTGAAGCAATTCTGTGATTTCCAAATCAAGAGGTTTCAACTGTCATCACCACAATTAGGTACCCAATTTTTTGCCCATTTTCTGGCAGAGCTGGATGTGTCCAGCCTTTTTAAAACAGTGTATGATGACACTGAAGAAGTCACTTCAATTTTCAACTCGACTGTTTTGTCTTTACAAAGAATCCAGACAGGCTAACTGACCAAAGAGCCTTGAAAAAAATTATGTCATGAATATGCACATAACAGCACCAAAGATGACTCATGAAAAACTTAACTGTTCCCTCTTGCAGATTTAGCTTCCACACAGAGGGGAAAAATTGTGCACTTCGGGGAAAACCTGAGATACTATCTGGTAAAAAAACTCCACATTAATAATTATTGTCCTACTGCCTCTTTTTATATGAAGAGGCTTGGGTTTTTTCCTTTATATTTTCCCCACAAAGAAAAATTAAGTTCCCATAGCACAAGACTGTTCTTAGATACAACCCAATAACAGAAACAAGACTGTCTGCATAACAGTCAGCCATTATTCCATTTCTGGGTTTTATTATCCTCCTTACTGTACAATAACTTAGCTTGCAAGCAGCAGTAAGGGCAAGGGGCAGGTCATGAAAAATATTCTTAAATAAAGGATATTGACAGACACACCTCACAACGGGCTGTGCTGATGAAATATGCAAGGTAAGAAGAGTTTCCAGGGAACCCTCAATGTTACACCTACCATTTGCAAGCAAGGCTGCTGCTTTCTGTGGTATTTCAATAATACCCTTGGCCATTTGAAAATTTCAACAGCAGTTCACATTTTTGGAATAATCATTCTGGAGTCTAAGGGTAAGTTAAAGTTATTAACATACCTGATCATCGTGAGAGCACTAGCTCTGTTCTCAACTCTGACACAGGACGGGGTTCAAAAAAGTCAACTCACAATTACTCTGCAGAAGCTGCCAAAAGGGAAAAGCAAAGTCTTTTGGACAGAGCTGAGCCAAGAGGATTCCTTCCAACCTGTGTCACTTCCTGGGCTAAAGCTAGCATGTTATAATCAGAAAAAGAAAAAAATATTTACCCAGCAGGTCTCAGAAATTGTTGACAATCTTAATTTTTCATGCAGGAGCAAAGACATTTTTGCAATTCCAGTGAGATGCTGAAGAGTTTCGGTGCAGCGCAGTACATCCAAGGCCCAGGCAGCCCGTCTCCTGCTCAGCCCTGGTTTCTAGCAAAGCAGCTCACGCCAGCCAAGACCAAGATCCAGCCTCCTCTCCACCTGGCCACAGGCCTTAAGACCTCAAATGGCATATGGGAATAATAAACATGCGCTAAGCATACGATTAAAGCATTTTCCTGCCTTAGTTCCAGATGCCAGTACTAGTCTTCGTCGTGCTTCCCTTCCATCCCTTCTGCACTGAATTGCGGCAGGTTTAAATTCTTTTCACAGTTGCTGCATCTTGCAAACTTGCTCAGTTTTATTTCCCATTTAGATTTCAGACTGACTGAGAACAAAAGAAATCATTTAAGCAGATATATCATGAAAAGAAAAAAAGAAACCTCGAACGCAAAAAACTTTAAAGTCAGCTTATAAAGATTTAAAAGACTCAGTTACTTTCATTATAGGAAAATTAAACTCCATTTATTCTTGGATGCAACGTAAGAGTGGAAACAAATTGGTAAATGGAGAAAGAATTTCATAAAGACAAGACTGACTACCCTAATTTGGAGGAAGGTAACTGTATCTCCTCGCTGTAGGAGCGGGTTAGTAATCTGGTCCATGGCAGCTCATCTCCAGTTATCTCTCAATCTTCATGTCACCAGAGGGAAGGAAGGAAGCTGCTGGCACACGCTTCTCTTCCCAACACCCACACTGTCGTCACACATTACTGAAGCATTCAATCTGCCACCATGGCAGCTGCATACCTGCCCCATACCAGATTTTGGGAGAACGAGGCTGAGCAAGTTAAGTGAGCTAACACAGACAGGTGATCAGTAAAAACAGGGCTCAGTAGCAAAAGTTAAAGCTAATCCTAACTTGTCAGACAAAAAACAGCTTTATGAATTAGTGGAAATTAAAAAAAAAAAAAAACTTTTGCTTGAGTTTCCCAATTTCCAAGGTTAAAATCTCCAGGAGAGCTCTGCCCCTTTTTCTCTCTTGGGACCACGGATCCACTGCCTTCCAGTACCTAGACATATAGGCCTGCCATGGGATGAGAGATGGACAACCTACAGCTGGAAAACAATCTGCAGCTCCCTGCTATACAAAGATTCCCCAGCGCCTCTACAACAGCGTGATCACTCCAACTCATGCAGAAATCTCAGCTCTGGCAACTCCACAGTCCAAATTACTGGCTGCACAGAAGGTCCTCCATAAACCCCCTCCAAGTTTCCATGCTTCTTACTACACATTGTTGGCATGAACTCCCTGAAATCTCAACCCTTGAGCCACCTGAACGTTACCAACAGGGGCTGGAAACCTCATGTCTTTCAGGTTTCACAAGCACCGGAGTATCAATACTCCACACCGATGTAAGCGAAACATCACTACCATTTCTTTAAATGCTGCCTTCTGTTTCCAACAGATTTATTTCTAACTAAACAGAGGAGAATGCCAGGTATCACACAGCTTGGAAACAGACCACATAATGAAGAATTAAACTCTGCACAGAGTAATACTACCAAAGCAATAGAGAAGAGAATTTATTTGTGTAATACACAAACATAATATTTAGATGTTTCGGGACAACCCCTGTAAGCAATTTTATTCCATGTTATGAATAGCTTGGTTATTTCCATCCCCTTAAAAAATAGGAGGGGATGCTATCAGTAGCATTCAGCATCTTTACTTACACCATTCAAACCCAAATCCCAAGCAGTGCTTCAGTGTTCTCTTCAAAAAAGGAAACAACACAGACTTGTGGATTTGAGGATGGGTGTGTATTCCTTCCACATGAACGCTCTGTTCTTGTGCCCAAGATGACAGCTGCAACCACAGAACCAGCCTCATAACAGCATCTTCAAGATAAGTCGCAGGCTATCAGCAAGAAGTATGACACGTGAATCTGGCCCGTACAGCAAGACATTCAGCGCTAAGAATCCAGTTTTCACTCTGCATGCATTTCAAAGGGCCGTATTTCAAACAAAATCTTACCTGGTCCGGTGGACTGAACACTTACCCAGTAGCCAAGACACACAGGATGCACGCCCAGCAGTTCAGCTTTATCAAAGAACCCTATTCACGCACCGACACCATCATGTGATGCACACTGAAGTGTGCAAAGCAGGGAAGACTCAAGAGATTTATTTCAAGAGCATTCAACTGACCCAAGATTAAAATGGCAGCACAGCTGCACCCTTGTTCTTGCAACAGCTTTCCACACCACCAGCATCCCTCATCAGGGTGGCAACGTGCAGCGCTGAGATAAGATCCATTCAGATAACCCTCACTCCAACTGAAGTCAGTTAAATTCTTCTCAGGCTTCAGCCTATGCCTCCTGTATGCAGAAGCAACCAACAGCCACTAATCTACATAATGCAATTTTAATTAAGGAGGCCAAGAAACTGTCATGCCTGGAAGTGTTCTCTCTCCATTGCGACAGTGGTCAAATTTTACTTATATATGATGAAAACCCAGACTGGGTAAGAAAAGTTTTCCCAATTTGGTTTTCTTTTTCCTTGATGACAAAGTACCCTAAGCATCCCAGAGACTTGCACCACACAAGACTCCTGTTAAGCCACGTTCTCTCACCTCTTTTTTCCATTCTAAAAGTGAACCACAAGAACGCTAACTGCTTAACATTGCAAGTGCCTGGAGCCAAGCTCCAATATATAGACAATAAGACTGTTTTCACATGCCAAGCCAATATCCTCTGATTTATTGATGCTTATATATTTTTTTACTATTAGGAGCTACAAAACACAAAGATTGAGAGCCAAATTATTTGGCTAATATAAAGGAAATACAATAGATTTTAGAATGACACCAGAACCCTAACATTTTCAAGTATTTTCAATAACAAAAACACTCCATGAAATTCCAAGTTCATCAGTTACTGCACACTTATTACAAAAAAAAAAAAAAAAAAACACCCCACCCAAACAAACCCATACTTGATCTCTGATCTACAGCCTTACCACTGAGGCTACAATCCATGATTAATAATCTTCAGTGCATTAGTTTTCACTAGAGGACTGTTCATTTTCTTTTCTTCTTCTCATGTCCAGATTCTTAATGTAGTCTCTAACATGAGACACGTACCCAACCCCATAAAGCACCTATACATTTGCTTTTATACACAATTTGAACACTCTTTTGAGACTTGGTGTATATCTTACTACTGATCGACATTTTGCAGGCTATTGCATTTCCTACAAAACACCAAGTTAATGCTTCATTTGTTTGCCTAGAGACATATAGGGACTACCTGCTTTTCTTGGAAAGTGACAACACTGATAACCCACAAAAAAAAAAAGAACAATTTTTCTAGGCTAATTATAACATGGAAAGAATATCCTTTAATAACGTTCTTTATTATGAGAATAAATACATAAAACAAACACAATATATTAGCCACATTTCCTCATATACATTCAGAATAGAACAGGAAGCTAATAGGCATAATCATCAGAACTAGTTGAACAAATTTTTGCTAAGCCACCAACACTGGAGGAAAGCTGGAAAGTTTATGCGCCAGTAGCGGGTGAAGAACATGTTATTTCAGTGTTTTCTTGGTATTAAAGACAAACATACTGTAGTTATGGGAATGAACTGATGAAGTGTTTAGCTCCGTGCGGTCGCCGTTTGAGGCTGTTCTGACTGCAACTGCTTTCCAAGGTATTCCCTGAAACAGAACAAAAAAATTAGATTGAGACACATTCTGGAGAGTGAGGAGGATAGCGGCAGGAAGCATGAAGTACAGAAATAAGCAGCAGCTTGAAGTTTAGAGTTATTCCTTCAAATAATGTCTACTGTCAATAGTCAACTGGAGCTACTATGAGAGTACCTAAGCTTTAGGTATGACATGATAGATCATATATGACAGATACATATATGATAGATACATCTCTCTGAAAATAAGGTGTGAACCCAACATCAACAAAACTGTCTGGAAAAAGAAAAAGCCCACTGGTAATATTTAGAAGTCCTGGCGACTGTTACAGGACACCCACAAAGCCCAGACCTTGTTCACCAAATATACACATCAGAAGCTGTGACTAAGTAATTAAAAGGATCTCTTCCCATAAGCCAGCTGCAGGAACACAAGTAATATGGATGTACATACCGGCAATTTAACCCGCGAGCTAGCAAAATAGACACTGACTGAAGAACTGTTATGTTCAAGTTGGAATCCAAGCCAGGCCCACTGTATACCAACACTTTCTTTAGTGTTTTCCTCACCTGTATTTTGAAGTGCTCTATGTCACTTACAACTAGCCTCTCAACACTGGAACAAAAACCCCCTGGATTCTTAGCATTTGCCTTGAGCAACAACATCTAAATTCTATGAAAAATACTGCTTTCACTTCTTCTGAATGTATCCATCTTTCATTATCTCCTGTGAAAGCAGCTCAACACTTCACAGAACCACAAAGAAGCTGAAAAGAGGTTATTAGTAATATCCAGGTGGTTGCTTGTTACAGAAGATAAACTTCAATAACTGTACCAGGTGAAAGAGAGGTTTCAGGACTGTGAAACGTAGGTGGGCTTTTTTTCCATTGCTGATTGTACACTCAGCATCACTGTCCTTCTCACTGCACAAGTATTTCAGCCAACACAGGTTAAAGACTAGAAGCAGTTCAGAGAAGCAATGTTCAGGTTTAAATCCTTCTCTTGAACAAAATAAAACCACCCTAATGTATACACTTTTGCTTTATTAAAAGAAAAAAAAAAAAAAGGAAAAAAGATCAGTTCTTACTGCACATTTCGAAAAGCAGCTTGCAGTTTAGTGCCCTGTTGAACAGCTACTCCCTGTGCATTACTATTCCTACTGCACAATGACGTTCAGCATCACAACTGCACCACCCAACAGCACTTTTCTCTGTTTTAAAGTAGCTAGAAAAGCAAAATGCCTATAAAGTATGTTAATGTCAAACTCCACTAGCAAAGAAAACAACACACCACTTCTATGCTGAGCCCGACGTTGTGATTTAGCACCTTCCGTTGTGATTTAGCACCTTCCTTCACAGCTTTACCAGGTGTTGCTGCAGGATCAAAGTATTTCAGTGCTTGGGCTGCACTCAATAGGGGTAACTGGTGATCATAGCAGGTAGGTCACCACCCTCAAGGTAGAGGCTCCTGATGGCAAAGAAGCAATGAGCTGCTCTCTTGTGATTTTACAGGACTCAGAATCGTACTACCAAAATAAACCAAATTTGACAGCCATCCAAAAACACAGCCAGCAACCATGCAAGGGCTTCCAAGCTCACCAAACCACTTTCTGCTCCCCTCAGTGGTTTGTTTGGGGTTTTTTTGTTTGTGTCATGCATGTACTAATTCTAGTATTTCTTGTCTGACATCCAGCCTTGAAAGTAAGCGACACTTGCTGCAGATATGGCTCTGCTCACAACATCACAAGCCTACAAAATTATTTATTCTTAACGCACACATGAACCACTTTGAATGTGAAATTCCTGTGCAATTACTTAGAAGGAGGAAAATCAATCAAGGTAACAAACTGTAACACTACAACTATTGCATAGCTTACACTGGTTCAGATGCATATTCAAGGCTTACTAAAATCCAACCATGGTGCAGTGTATTCAGCAAAAACCTCCGAGAAGGCAGAGCAGTAGCATATTTTGTAGGTACTTACTGCCTTAACGGACATATTCAACTTCTAAGGACATATAGTAGGTAGTCCAGATGGGAAGTTTACCTTAATTTAATAGATGGGAAGTTTACCTTAATTTTCTGTTTGGTTATGATTTACAATTGAGTATCACTGGTTAACCCAGGCCAAGTTCTTGCATGGTCTATGCCAGATGATGAGAGGGATAGGTAAGAGACTGACAGGAGGGATTTAGACAGCTTCTCAACATTCTGCCCTAAGAGGAAGAATACCTTCCTTTGACAAAGAACATATGAAAATACCAACCCGTGCCTCTGAAAGTGAAATTGAAAAGCTAGTTCCAAAGAAATTCTTCTTATGAAAGCGTACAGAAGTATAATATAGCTACAGTAAGAAGTCTGCCACGACTACAGCCACTCAAAAGACATTGCCACTATATGCTGTTACAGACAACTCATAAAGATACGACAAGCAGTTAGACAAGCAAGTTCACAGCACAGGCAGCAGAAGGAATAGTCTGAACAGACAGAACAGTTTTGCCATCTTTACATTGCATTTCCACTACGGGTCTAACAACCTGGGCTTTTTGAGAGACACAGACCATTTTTAGTAATTTATTGTGACTTCACAAACAGGTATTTGTTACACAACTGACATATTCCCAGCTCCACAGCAGGCTAAACTGTTCCTCGAAAGCACTGGTCTTGTAAGTGTTCCACTGCTGCAAAAACAGCTCTACAGATGTGACAACCCCTGGAACCTGCTGAGCAGTAGATAAGAAGTGGCAACACCAGGACAAGCTTGCAACCGTCTCTCAAATCCCCACCTAATCCAGTGGGGGACAAAGCTGGCACAGCCACCCATGAACCCATTCCAGCCACGTAGTCCTGCTTTCCTCACAGAGCACTCCTCCAGGCATTGTGGTGAGACTGTAGGCTTTGTTCATTTAACTCTCAGGTGAATTGTTTTCTGCCAAAAAAGCTCCCTTGAACCTGGTTTCCGCAGTTTCACATTAACACTAGGGGTGGCCAGGAGAAAGGCAACTGGAGCTGGAGAGGGGCCACCAGAGATGCATTTGCCTTGCCATGGAGCCACAGCAGTCAGTGAAGAAATAAAGAAACCAAGCTCAAACCAAATCTGGAGCTATGTTAATATTTGCTTCCTGAAAGCCTTTTTACAAGGGCCTATAGTGACACGCCAAGGGGAAGCGGGTTTAAATTGAAAGTGGGGAGATTTAGATTAGATATAAGGAAGAGGTTGTTCACAATTACAGTGGTTTGGTACTGGAACAGGATGCTCAGAGAAGTTGTGGATTCCCCATCCCTGGAAGCATTCAAGGCCAGGCTGGATGAGGCTTTGAGCAACCTGGACTAGTGGAAGGTGTCCCTGCCCATGGCAGGGGGGTTGGAACTAGATGATCTTTAAGGTCCCTTCCAACCCTAACCATTCTGTGATTCTATGAATATATCATACTGCTGGATCAGAAGCTTTACCGCTTTACCATATTTTATATGTAAAATATACACTTGATACATCATATTTTTTTTAAATAGGCAATATAGATTTTATACATTACATGCACTGCTCTTCACAGAAGTAAATAGAAACAGCATGGCTATGAAAGTAGTAAACTAAAAAACCCAAAGAGACATCCTCCTAGAGAGCTGGGCTGAGAAGACTGTCCAAGCTGGAGTGCTACCCCACAGGAAAACTGCAGTTCTCTTCTGCAAACTGTTTGCTGAATACACTTTTCTTCCTTGACTCAGTGGATTAATGCATTCAACACCTAAGAGTCTTAAGTGTGCACAGAGTATTTCAGAATGACTGATACAGATCATGTTTAACTGAATTTTGCTATCAGGAATCAAATCTTTAAAGTAACACTAATCAGAAGCAAAACTATCAAAAAGATACTTCTTTGGTGACTTTTTTCCCAGCACAGCACATAAAAAAAGAGCAATTTCTTTGAAAAAGAAAACACAAATTGAGCAGGATGTTCAGTATTTGCAAAATATTTCTTCCACATTACCAGAAGCTCTAGAAACATTATAGTGTGTTTTACAAGCAGTGCAGAACTCGTGACAGAAAACAGAGTGTGAAGTCCTGGAGAGCATACACACAATACCAAACAAAGATGGAGCACTCCTACTAGATATCAAGTGTGCCTGTAAGTAATTGGAATTTTTGCCTAACTTGTCTCACTCCAGCTAGGGACTGTCCTCTTAAAAAATTTATTTTTATCAGGGACATAACCCATCTTCTCAAACTTTTCAGTTGGATAGCTTCTGTTAACTACTAAAAAGGAATTGTATTGATGATGAAGGCTAAGAAAGAGGATGAATAAATATAGTGGATTGCATTATCATGTAGGCTTTGTTTTCTACATTTAAGCCTACTCTAGTAAGAATTACATATCTGAGTGTTGGGACGGGAAAAAAAAAGGCAGGGGGACAGCAAACTTCATGGCTGCCAGTTAACTACCATTACACTTTGCACTTCTCGCAGCCAAAAGCCAGCATGGTACAGAAGCCAACTTAACAGATTATGTGGTCTTTGGAGAACAAAGTTTATACCAAAGAAAAGGAGTGACAAATGCTGAATATTCAATGGTAAGTCTATAGAACAACAGCTTCTAAGCATAGCATACTGCAAATCCCTGGCAGTTTCAGATTTTTTAATGTCTCTCTTTGCATAACTACTCATTTTAAAAGATGGAAAGCTAGTAATTTTGTCTGGGATGTGCACTCTGAAAATCATGAGTGTTGTATATTTATAGCTTATCTGAATCGGTTGCTTCATTATGTTGTTTCTTAATTTTACTTCCAATACCACACTTGATCATGCACCAATGATGCACCCTAACTCCCACTGCTTAGCATCCACCAAAACACTCATACTCTCCATGTCAGTAGCAGATCATTGATTAGCAGTTTATTCTAAAAGTCTGCCTGTTTAAAGGAAGTCTATAGCTCAGAGCCGTTACAGGTGCAAGGACTCTGGGGAGATGAGGCATCATACCCAAGCACGGAGGCAAGAGAGGCAATCCCTCCCTAACAGCAGCTCACTACTACGACATAAGCAGGAAAGTGGGAAGTCTAGTAATTTAGTCAATGGGTACAACTCTCAGAAGATATGAGCTCTGCCACTGCCTGCCCTGGCTCAGCCAGAGGAAAAGTACACACGCTTGCAACCAGATCCACTACATTTCAACATCATTCATATGAATACTGAAGAACATTTGAGCTACAGAAAGGTTAAGCCACTGCATTTTACTTTATATTTGTATGAGCAAAGAGCATACAAGGATCCATCTCTGCACATGTCAGCTAGACTAGATATTGTAACCATTCTCCTATTCCTGATGTGGTCCCCAACTCCCAACATCGCTGCTGCTGACAGAAAAAAACAACTGAGGAGCAAACATTCCTGGGCCTAACCCCGGTAGAAGACAAGCAGGTGGTGGTGGAAACCAATCCATTATGCTCCAGATGACCAGTAAGGTCATAAAAAAAAACTACACATCAAGTGCAGAACATCTAGAATTCACCTAGCTCTTCATATAGATCTTACTTTAGTGAAGCAATAGAAGATTGGAATTAACCCTTTTAGAATGAAGCCAGGAGACTATAGGTTCACAAATCCTTAAGATCTTGCAGGAGTTTAATCTCACTGCTCAATTTCAGACACTGAAGCTGATCTGCGCTGCCCTGAAAAACCACCACCTTCTCTGCACTGTTCACAGAGGGAACCTGGGCTTCTAACCGTAGGTGCTTTGAGTCACAACCTCCCATCCCTGAAGTTCAGTAAATGTTGTGCCATAAAGCACATGACAGACACATGCTTCATCTGTAGGGATTAACATTGGGTTTCTTTAAAGTGATATATGTAAGTGCTGTCAGTCTAGAACTTAACGTTTGATTCTTTTAAAGTCTGCCCCATTAAAGACACTACTCCGACCAGCACTAGGTTACCCAAACCAGTTTCTCACACTAAAATGGTCAAGCTGGGTATTGCCTCTGAACACCAGCAAAGACAAGGAATAAGGAGATGATGTTTCTCATACGCAGTTAAAGGACAAATTGAACAGGACACACAAAAAAATGTGCACCATCATTGCCACGCCAAGCTCCTCCGTCTGCCAACGACAGCTTCCTACCGACAGCGTGGGGTGCCACAACTAACACAGCTGAAGAGAAATTAAAACACAGGATACATTACCATTATTTAAAGACATTAAGTGATGCTGAAAAGATACCTTTGCTCCCCGCTTCAACACGTGCACTATCATGTAACACGCAAATGTAACTGGAATATTTCACCTGAACTTACCTCATCTGAAAAGCTGACAGCAGGTACTGCTTTTGCCAACCCAGCTTCAATACTGAACAAAACGACAATCTGATTTCCTCCCATTTATCCCTGACTTAAAAACCCCTCAGGAAAAGGCAGTTGAACAGCTTGTACTGAACTATTCAAATTACTTAGGAGTTAATTGTCTCCAAGTTGAGTTATTAGCAGTGTAATGCTACAGCTGCATTTTAAGCAGAAGGCCACTTCAGCTCCCACCTGACGCTCCCTCGGTTCAGGTAATGAAAGTTTTCCAGGCACAGCACTTGCACCAAGCCTCAGAAAGAGATATAGGAAGAGCCTGGCCACCCCTGCCATGCACTGTCACAGATAATTGCTTTCAGCGAAATAACTGGAATTCCAAAACACATGGAAGCAAGGGGAGAAATGCTTATTGTTTCCCCAGTTCTGAAGAGAAATAAGCAGGCACTGGAACTGCACTGTGCAGCCATCAGGGGACTCTGCTCTTTCTCCCCACACAAGCTATGAAACAGAGGAGCTCCTGACACACACCATAAGTCAGATTGACACAAAGACAGATCCAGCTTCCACATACAAACTGCCATTTCCTCAGCTCAAGGCTATCTGATGTCCACTCCAGAGGGAACACTACTTTGGCAAGTACGAGCCAAGGACAGTGTGTCCCAGAGGCTTGTTCCAATAAGAATTAAACAAGAATTAAACAAGGCCAAGCTGATGAGGCTTTGAGCAACCTGGTCTACTGGAAGGTGTCCCTGCCCATGGCAGGGGGGTTGGAACTAGATGATCTTTAAGGTCCCTTCCAACCCAAACCATACTGTGAAGAACATATTCCCTACAGAGATTACAATATGAACCTGAAAAAGGCACTAAGTTAAACAGATCCTCTTCATTGGCACCTCTGAAGATCTGAAACTGCAATCTCACTCAGTCTCAAGTCTAAAGGTTCAGAAACGGTGAAAAGCAGGCACTGAAATGTTCATGCCATAATCTAGAAGACGAGATGTGCTGGTTTTTAAATTAGTATGCTTAAGTTGAAAATGAGAAAAAGCCAAGTTAGGCATCCAGGAAAACTTTTATTCCCAGTGAGGTTGGTGTTGGAGAAAGACTAGAGCTTTGTATTTTTATCACCAGATAATAAGCAAGGTAAAATTAATATTTTAACAAACACAAGAGTTAAACCCCATATACTTCAGGGAAAAAAAAAGGGAAAAACTTTGTTTTACAGAAGATACGCTGCAGGGAAAGGGGACAGAAGCTTTGTATCAGCCTTGCTAGCCCGTATTCTACAGCAAGCAGGTGAGAAAGAACCTGTAAGAATGTGCTTGATAAATCTTTTACCCCTACTGCTTTCACACTGTTAGCATCATCACTACTCTGCCTTTTAAAAAGATCACATTCTATCAGAAGCAAAAAAGTGACAGAAGTTATAGGTACTTTCAAGCTTTTCAGTAATAAAAGGTTGTTTTAAGTTCAAAATTAAATTAGTTTTATCTCAACATCTATGTTCCAATGTACTCAGGTGCACTGCTGCATCCTATCATTCTCTAAGGCAATGCCAAATTGGAAATATGAGCTTTGGTGAAATCATAATTAATAATCAGATTAAGAATTCCTAATTAATATTTTAGCTCTCCATGCTTTATGCTCAGCATACCTAATTAGTTTGGCAAGTTACACCAAGTTGTTAGGTGAACACTACTGTTTTTCAGGTCTTGTCCTTCAGTGCTTCACTACAAAGGTCCTGTGCTCTGTTGGGAAAGGCAGCATCATCCACCAGCAAGTTCTGGCAGAACACGCCAGGACTTCAGAGTTTTTGGAGTTCTATTAGAGAAACAGTTAGGAAACTAGTCAAACAATGAAAGAATAAACCTCACTTCAAATATTGTTCTCAGCAACTGATGAAAGAGATACCAGTGAGTGATTTTCAACGTCATCTAACCAACCAGCCCTTAAGCTTCTGCTACTCCAGGAGCTCAAGAAAAATTGTGCTTGCGCCTCATAAAACGCCAGCAGGAAAACAGCAGTGTAGAGTGGGGGAAAGGGGCAAATGAGAATGCAACAGGATGGTCAGGCAGGCCCTTTGCAAAGGAACTGCCAATTAAGTACTTGAAGCATCAACTACAACTACATCAAGCTACTGATTCCTTCAGCTGAGATTAAGTAAGCTTGCTAAAATACCTACACACATCCTTAACATTTTGGAGACTAGTTTTGCAAGTCTAAATTACAGCTTATATTAAATATTAAGCAGGTCAAATAAGTTAAAATATATCGTTTGAGTGAATTACTCATGTGGCATTCAATCACACAAGGTCAAGCTACTCAACTGCAACAAAAATATACAGAAAAACTAGCAAAGATCTTGCACATCAGCATCATATTGCTCCATCATTTAAGAACAACAGTCTCGCCACACTGAAATGTTATTCCCCCCATTGAAGAAATCTACTGTCTTGAATCCTCTCCCCACAGCCCAGCATTTCGTAGTGTTAGCAGGATGTTAAATAAATCTTCACATACCAGTTATGAACCATCAGCTTCTGCACAGCCAGTAGCGCATTATAACGAACTTGTTGGTCTTCATGATGCATGTGGTTCATTACCAGCTGTTTACCACCAAGTTGTTCAATCACTCTGAAAGAGAGGAGGGGAGCAAGAGGGTTTTGGCATTACTTCAGCTTCTGGGTAGCTATCCTACACAACCACTTCATGTTCATTAAAAGGTTAAGTCATAGAATATTTATTTTATTGAAAGTATTTATTTCCTAACATAGGCATCTTATTTGACATGTTACAAATGCAGGTCTCATACCCCTTACTGATATATATATTTTTTTAAAGAATTCACAGCATCAAAAAGTGTTTGTACTGAACTCATCTGTTTTGCTACCTGCTACCTACTTCCACAAATTTTGAAATAAACAACTGTCAAGGAAGGAGCCCTTTTCAGAGAAAGTTATTTGCTCGAGAGGGTTAGCAGGAGCATGATGGATTATTATTTAGGAGGAAGTAGTGCACTCCCCTCCATAAATTGATGACAACCAGGTCACTCCATTTTTTTGCAAGATTAAAGCCCCAGTCCAGTCTAGCACTGCCTAATCCAGAAAATACGTTTGTAATCAGGCCAACACCTATCAAACCAGCACCTGGTAATCCTCATAGTGCTTTCTGCCATTCAAACTGTACTACAGCCACAGCTATTCTTGCAGGGGATACACAACTGGCTCATAAGCTACCATTTCCAGAAAAACAGCATATTTAACTGCATCTTTCACTACAAACTTCACCACAGTACCCAGCCATAGCTTTTTAATAGCTATACCAAATCCCACATGAAATTCTAATGAAATCTTGTATCACATCATGAATATATAAGTTCTTTAAAAAAAAAAAAAAGGAAGGCAACACACTCAAAACCTGAAAAAATATCACCATCCATACGACTGCCTATGTGCTGCACTTCGGTCGGCCACAGCAAAAAGTTTGGAGAGAATTTGGAAGAAATACCTAAACTGATTACTCGGTGACTTGTACATGGTTCTTCTATCTGTTCTCTCACAGGCCACTGCGTAGTTAAACATAATACCCTGCGCATTACTCTGAACCTGATGTTATCCTGGGATTCTAAGCTTGCATTACTGTTCTTCTCATTGCCAAATGTCTTAATCCTACACAACAGACCATGTTTTTGAAAATTGCAGAACAGTATAAAGACATAGGGTGGAGATGAAAAAGGTAACTTCCCATTTCATTTTATAATTCGGTCAAAACTATCCTGGAGACCACGGAGAATATTATTTCCCACCAGTATTAAAACATTTAGAGATATTTCATACAAGAGGAACGCATTCAGAAAAGTGTAATTCTTTTAAGCCAGAAAATCCTCACCAAGAATTCAAGAAGTTATTAGTAATGTAACAGATTCAAAAAGCCTTTATGTCTGCCTTAGGCTTCCTCACATTTTTAATCATGACTTAAATATAAAACCACTGCACACAAAGACAAGACTGAAACACAAACAGGAACCTTTTCCTCATTACAGGACTGACTTAAACACTGATTGTTCAGGGACTGAAAGGAGGGATTAGAGGCATTAAACTCAAAAGCTTCCTTTCACAAGGAAGGTGCCAGTATCAAAATGAAACGTTAAAAACCTATAATCACAAATGGAAATAGAGTATTTCAGATGACAGTACATCACCATGAAATTATGGCTGAGAATTACAGAACATCATTACCGTTCTTGCATAAAACTGCCTACTGCTAAAAATCACCTGCCAGCCATGTGCTGCAGACCAAAATGTAAGCAACTGTGAGGAAGGTTCATGGTGAATGACATTCCTTCGAGTTCCGAACCTGCTCAAAACACTGCTTTTAGTTCTGGTTTTTTCCCCTCTCCCCAACTTCTGTTTACTTCACAGCAGTAACTGAGCCTAATGGGCCAGTTATGGTACTTGCACAGCTCCTGTGGGACTGTTCTCCATAACAGCAGTGTGCTAAGCCAAAACAGTGGCAATTCAAACGCGTTCCTGGACGCTGAAGAGCCTGATTTTAACATGACACATTTAAAGGGAGAAAGAGGAAAGAGAAGATGAAGACAAATGAGAGCAGTTTACAGTATTATAGCAGAAATTATTAATATAAAATTCACACTACGTATTTAAAAGCAGAACAAGATGAAAAAGGGAAGGCAATTAAGCTGTTTCTGAATCAGGAGCTAAAGGAGGGAATAACTCTAAGCATCAATCTCTTTCACATGCAAAGCATTAACCCCATTGTTCAGGGCGTTCAGGTGACTGAAAGTGTTGATGTTACATAGCAGTAACCCTCGGGCCACGTGCAAGTTGTACTGGAGGCTGATGTTAGCTTGTGTTTATTTTCAGGGACAGGAAACACAAACGCCATAGTCATTTCCGCTGTTACATTGTCAGAAAAAGCCTGTAGCTGAGCCTCATTAGAGGCCCACAGTGCTATTGCCTTGAGAATTTGGTCCACAATGTGCAATCCTAAAGGCAAGCTAAAATTATTTAAGCTGACAACATTAGAGAAAAGCCAAGCAAAACTGTAGTATTTAGGTTAACAAACATTTTCTTTTGTCAGACAAGGGGAAAGGTTAGCCAAAACTCGTCTCTGGGTCTCTGCAGTGCGCAACAGGTAAACTCTAGAAGTTTTATGTTCTTCAACCTTCAAAGGCTGAAAGGTGATTCAGTTCAGAGTTGAGGATAAACACATAAAGGAAAAAAAAAATATGTAAGACTCTTCTTATTCTTCTAAACCAACAAACAGCATCCATTCTCAAAACGAGTCACACCGTAAGCGTGAAACACTAACTGAGCATGGGAGCAGTAAACAGCTACAAAGCAAAACACATCACAGTAGAAAATGGACTATTACGTGGGAACTGACACACAGTCCTTCGGTATTTTACACGTCTAGTCCTAAAATTACTGAAGTCATATTTAGCAAGAATGCACTGGTTTACAAAGGAAGCTCTTCAAAAGAAAGCGATCGAGGTATCTTAGTTTGTCCATCAGGACAGAAAGTTAAATAAGTTAAGTCCGTAAGCAGAAATCAGCCACAGTATTAGAATTTGATATAAGAATGGGGGTTAGAATAGTATCTGTAACGCCTGTTATGTGCTGACAACCACTCCTTTTGAAGGTTGATGCACTTCTGACTAGGTTTAAAAGCCTGGGAGCTGAGCTGAGCAGAGCTGTGGTCCCACCAGCAGTACATTTTCCCAACTACAGACAGAGACAGAGGTCTCATTTATCCATTCCTCTGACTTCACAGCTTTGGTCCCACAACACATGGCCAAAGCAGCCCAAGCATTATGCCACACTTGGGTAGATGCGTGCAAAGACTGTGAAAAATGCCTAATAAAATGGCTTCAGACGAAGGGCAAACCAAAGCAGGAGCAACCAGTATTAGTCCTTCAGCTTTGTCACTTACAGGTGGTAGTAGGAGTTTCCGCCTTACTGGAGGATATCTTGCCTCTCCTCCAAATACCAGTTGGAGGTAAATACCTAAATACCTGAATCTCGTTTGGAAGACACAGGAGCTAACTAGCAACCACACAGCACTGCTCAGTAGAAGTGGTGCACACTGAACACCTCTGACCTTTCTTTAGTGGACCTAGAAAACATTTATTTTGTTCCAACACTCCAAAAACACCTTCAGTTCAAGTTGCTCACAAGACTACAAAGGTGGTGAATCTTTCTAGACTGAACAAATTCTTCTAGCATACACATGGCGTGAAGTTTCAGTTTGTTGTTCATGATTCTACAACTGTCAAGACAGCTGTCTCCACAAGAAATGTTCGTGAAATTCACAACAAGCCCAGACCACTCTCATCCTCCCCATTACACCCTATGCAGAAACCATCAACAGACTACTTCTTTGCTACAGAAGTTAAGTCACATGTCCCACTGGATGACTGATGAGCACAACCCCTGCAAAAAGCAAAGGACTATCTGCTTCAGTGATCTCTCTACTTTAGAGATGCAATTATTCAGGAAGCAAACATCTTTGCTCACAGGTTTGTAAAACAAAACCAAGCAAGAAAGTATAGCAATGTCTGTCTGTATATTTTGACATGAATTCACCTATAAACACTTTCACCCAAATGTGTATTCGTGTAGCTAAAAGAAAACACGCTAAAATAGAAGAGTAATAACTGAATCTGTGCTAACATCACTAAAATTACAATAGCAATTGTTTGTGAAAAAAATCTTCTCATTTGTCTTAAGTCATAAAATGGACTTAGTCATTGTTGAAATAGTCCATCCCTACTGTAAGTCAAATAATTATATTCCAATAGTCGTAACAGAGGGCAGAAATGGTATGTTGATTTAATTCTTGGTAGCTCCTCTAGTGCATGTCTTCTGCTATAGTCTAAACAGCTTATTCCAGACTTCTTTAGGCAAAGGCTCCCTCCACTGCTAAGAGACACTGAAATGATACATTAAGTCAAAGATCTAGTTGGTATTTTCTCATCTGATCTAGTTTGTGTTTTCTCACCTTCCCAGTGAATTAAACTTAAGCATAACCTGAAATGTCCATGCAGCATCTTTGAATGCAAATAAGCAAAACACACGCAGGTAAAGTATCTAACCGAGCTACTTTGAGTATCAGTATATTGGCATTTCTCTTACCGTTTCCCACGAGGATAGTGTCGTACATATTCTCCCACATCATGAGCAGCTACAGCCAGCACTTGTGGGTCATCAGAAACCTCCAGAAGTTTTGTCAAGATTCTAGGAAAGGATTTGAAACAATCAAGTCCCAGGTTTTGTTTTGGGTTTTTTGTTTTGGTTCAAAGACTGAGATGATGAAAGCTATACCTTGCAATTGACTCCAACTTCATCTATTAGTTATTTTGTTAGCATGAACAGAAATACAGAGCTGTAAGAATCAGAAAACAGTTTCTCAAGTCTTAATATTGGCTGCATTTTTTAGTTATGTAGTTCAGTAAGTTGTAGCGGGAAACAGCTACCAGTGACACTGTTCTCTAGCCAGTAACGAGGAGGGGGAAAAATGTGACACAGATATGAAGGTTAGGCACTAATAACAAGTTTAAAAGGTTATACATACAGATCACTGGAAAATTAGATTTATCTTCACGTAGTGAGGTGACAAATGTATTCTAATCACAGAAAGTTAGTAACAAGTTGAACTAGTTAGGTGGGTTAAAAACGCAATTGGAATTAAAAAAAAACCCAACATTCTGGTAGAATTAAATTGCCACAGCCACTGCCTCCCCAGAGGCCAGAAAGTGAAAGATAAAGCACTTTTCATTTTAAAATACCTCCTAACTTGGACAAGAAGGAGGAGCAGCAACTTGAACTATAACACCAACCAGGAGACACTGAAGATCCATACAATAATGTTGAACAAAATACAAGTCCAGCCTCATTTGCTTAAGAAGTCAATAATGGCAGAGGGCAGGAAAAGTCTTAAGTTTGACAGTAAGTTTATTAGAATTAGAAAACAAGTAAGCTGACAGTTAAGGGAAAATAAAATAATGTGGCTTGAAGCAAAGAGAGGATTGTCTGTCAAATACCTTCCGACACAAAAGAGAATTTCTGAGGTGCAAAATCTCCCCACCACATTACAGGGGGAGCTGTTGAGTTTGGAGTGGGGAGGGCATTTGCTTGGGTTTTATTTTGGGGTTTTTAGTTTGGTTTTTTTATAATATTGAAATAGGAAATATTGTAGATCACTACTTTTGTAACAGTCCCAGAAACAGGAGAGATGAATACAGCAATTGCAATGTTTTGTTACAAGAAATACTAAACCTCAACATCAACTCCATGTTGCTGTTGGCAGCATATAGATTTTTTAAGTCTATAATCCTACATATTTTGCAATATGCCCTCAGGGAGGGATTTATCAGACTTGTTTCAGTGAGGTTTTAGGGCAGACTGAAACCCACATAAAGCTCAGGATCAGCTTGCTCTTGCCATGCCTTCTAATATCTCGCACACTCCACTCAACCTCCTGATTTCTCTTAGGTCTGTCACTTATTAGCAAATACTGAACAGGAGGAACACCAGTTAATGACAATGCAGTTAAACAATTGAGAGCTCCTAGACATCTTTTGAGTACGTACTTTCAGAAGCCAGCAAGTAAGTCCTTGACTCCAAAAGGAAAGATGAGCTTCAGCTTAATCTAACAATCTACATACACCAAACAGTCCCAAAACAAAAAAGACAGACTGCAGTGTAATGCAGCAAGTCAGATCTTCCATGGAACAATAGCACAGCTTTTAACCCCCACGTATTCAAGAAAGAAGTCCAGTACTCATGTCAATGACAACAAACAATACAAAACTAAGACTATGATACGGTAAAAACATTATCTCAATTAGTACAGCTGTTTTTCAAGTGAAAGCATTAAAAGACTCAACAGCAGAAATTTGCATGCAAGTTAAGCTAGAGATATTCCCTCTATCCCCATCATCAATACATTTTGACCAATAAAAACAAAAAAAGCAATTCTGCTTTTGAACAAGATAAACCGTACACGAGTAAGGATATCTTTCTAAAAATAGCAAGATGTTCTGACTTGCTTTTATTCTAGAAATTACTTCTTGATGAAATGTAAAACCTGTAATAGATACAGGTGCAGTTAAACACAGAAAATAAAGAATTATGTGATTCAAAACTTGAAAACTCACTTTAGTAGTTCATAATTCTTCTCATTTAGTCTTACAGCATTCTCCCGCCAAAACTTCTCAGACTTGTGTACAGGACTCCACTCCAGTCTTCCTGACTTGAGCTCAGAACTGTACTCATCGAAGGAGCTGCAACACAAAAGACCTAAATGAAATATTGTCTAAGCTTCTATGAAGAGAGTTTGAAGCACATGCCTAAGCCTGGCTCTAGTAAGACAAAGCTGGAGCATAACTTGCTAGGACAGATTTGGAAGTCAGCTCTCTGCACGGCATGAAAATTGTTCCCTGTCTCAGAGTTCAACGCTTTAAAAATAAGGAAAGGCATGACAGACAAGAGAAAAATTTGATTTCAAACATACTACCCCATCCACCCCAAAACACAATTCCTGAAGGGAAAAAAAAAACACAGGAAAAACTCAAGCCACACAACCACAGCATTTGGGAATGTAATTGGCTGTTTTGTCTGTTTTCTAGGTTTAACATCCCAACTAAGGATCCCAGTCCTTGCTTCCATCCAATCAAACCTTTGACATGAACTACAACATGCGGTCCAATTTATGCACAACAGCAAGAACTAGGCAAACACAAGCAGAAACTTGAGTTAATCTGGACAGCAAAACATACTCTAATCAGGTAGTTGAGCCTAGACTGCATATCCTGTACCATCCCTCTGAAGTCTGTTAAGAGGCTTTCAGTTATTAAGATCACATATCCCAAAGTGAAGGTTTATTGTCTATTCAGCCTGAAAATACTCACTTAGAATAGGAAACTTTTACATATAACCAGCATCTCTGTATGTTCTACCTTATCTACTGTAATTGATATATCACAATTCTATATATTATTTAGCCTAGGAAAGAAAAAGATTTTACCAATGTTTGTACAATTGCATTTTTAAGAGTTCACACTGCAAAGCATACCTCAGGTCTTGCACGCTCTCACCAAGTTTGTCCAGCAGAAATTTGATATCTTCACTTATGTCTTCATCATCATATTTCTGCTGATCCAAATTCTCTAGCTGCTTTAAAACTTTACATTGAATCATGGCAAGAGCATATTCTTGGCGAGTTTCTCTCTCGGTAGATTTCTCTAACAAATTCTAGGGAAATAAAAATTTAGTTATTTTGTTTGTTTTAAGAACAGAGTATTTTGAAACAAAGTGGTATTTTACAGAAATTCCTATTAGCATGTTTTAGCTCAGTAAGTGACAGAACTGACCACTTCTTGAAATAGTCTCTCCAAAGAACTGAAGTATGATTCTACCACACAGTGGCTGCTTTACACCTAGATTTAGTAGCATAAATTGCCTAAGACTGATCTTACCACACAGGAGGAGTATTCCTATCTGCCACTACAGCAGATCATAGAAAGATCTGGGTTGGAAGGGACCTTAAAGTTCATCTAGTTCCAACCCCCCTGCCATGGGCAGGGACACCTTCCACTAGACCAGGTTGCTCAAAGCCACATCCAGCCTGGCCTTGAACACTTCCAGGGATGGGGCATCCACAGCTTCTCCGGGCAACCTGTCCCAGTGCCTCACCACCCTCTCTGTGAAGAACTTCTTCCTGATATCTAATCTAAACCTCCCCACTTTCAATTTAAACCCATTACACCTTGTCCTGTCACTACAGGCCCTTGTAAAAAGTACTCCCCAACCTAAACAAAAAACCAAAAAAACCCACCCTTAAACTTCAAAAAAAAAAAAAAATAGGAAGCCCTGTCTCACACAGTAAAAGTAATGCAACCGCATGTGCTGAAAGCACAACTACCACTGCACTCAAGTTCAAGTCACTTACACCTTTTTTCTCCTAGATGGTACGCTACCTTCAAAATCAGAAAGTATTAATTTTCCTGCTTTGATCATTTTCCATACAGAATCAGGCTGACTACAAAGACTATTCAAAAGAAGAAGGGCAGGCTTGTATCCCAAATCCCAGAGCCCCTGCCATAAATAACTATTTTTATCTGGGATTATCATTTTAGGTTGCTGCGCAGCAGTAGCATAAAGCAGGAAAGCCTTAAAGAAAAAACGAAAAACCCCAACGTCATCTTTCCAACTCAAGAGACCATCTGGATTAGATCAGCTTCTTTTGAATTTGGGAACATTCCAATTAGACATTTTTATTCAAACAGAAGCTTGTCAGTAAGACTGGAATTACAGGCACAGAATGCAATAGTCAAGTTCCAATGTCATTTATTCATTACATTTCTACTCAATTTAATCAGCTTCAAATCATGTTGTTCAGTCAGAGCTAGCCACCTGCACTTCTTGATAAAGCTGAAAACATGAATTCCATATAAAAAACAAAGCCCTTAACAAACAGAACACGTGTCCATATAAATAAGCGTTAACATCTACCAGAAATAAACAATGAAACCATACAGAAGGAATTTGACTGCATCACTGTCATTCATGCTAAAGACACATACACTTAAGGTTTCTAAGATACCAGGCATCATATTAGTTAGTGAGGCAGAACACTGCCAATAAACGTTAAAACTTGCATCTTGAAGCTAAGTCATATTACTGCTTTCAATGGACACGCAATTAGCTTCAACGTGGGTTGTTTGGGGTTTTTTTCACACCACAGTTCTATTTCAGCAAGAGATCAGAGAAGTAAAAAGGTAATTTACAGAAAGTAACACTAAATTACTTAGAGTTAAAAGTGCTAATGAGAGCGAAAGAACAAATAATGAATCTTAAAAGACAAAATTCAGCAAGTTCAAGAAGCAGGTAGATAAATTTCCAAAGAACTCCTAGGTAAGAAAATTATAGGCAGACGTGGAAGCTACTCCAGATACTACTACCTATCTCATACCATAGTGAGATATTCAAGCTTTGTACAGTGAAACTGAAAGGATATGTGAGCAAAGTACAAACCGGAACACATGACTAAATAGAATGGATCAGTAAACTACTCTGATAAAATTTTAAGACACAAAATGAGTTACAGGTATGAAACAGACATAAACAAAATTAGGAAAAAAGAGGAATAAACATTTTAGTAGGTAAAGAGAGAAAGTAATTGATTCAAAGTAGACAGAAGTACCCAATACCTGAGTAAAAATACACATTACAATTACATACTTCATGCAAGTAACTAGCCAAAGAGGTGAAACAGGTCGAATTAGGAGAAATTGAGCAGTAGAGAAGACGTATGCAAGTTGTCAAGACTCATGACATACCTTCAACAATGCACAGGCAGTAGGTGATTTGGAGAATAATCAAGCCTAGTCCTTTATGCAATTCACTTTTTTTTTTTTTCCATAAAATGGTACTGTAGCCTCTCACACAGGAAAAGGGCTGGTTTCGCCTCTGCTACCTATTTTAATTTTGCTTCAGAACTCACAGCCCTGATGTCTAATTTCTAGACTATTATTTCCTGGTTGCCACTTTATAACCTCATTTTCATGCCAACACTAGTCTTCAGCGTTGGAGAAAGAAAACAGCTAAGTTCATTTCCCTGAAGCCTGTAACAAACCATCTTAATCTTTCTTAGTCTTTATTTATTAAAAGAACTTGTCTTCATTTTTGTCCCCTCCTGCAAAACACACTGAATCTAAGAACTAGCAATTATTTCTCCTATTTTTTATAACCTCAGAATTGGAAGAAGTTGAATACAAACTGTTGAGCCCCTTAACTTCCCCTCTCCCCGCCCTCCCCACCCCCCCAAGCTGTCTTGCTGTAAGTCCCTGATTAATCCTAACATTAAGATCCTAAAGAACAGTAGAACACCTACAGAAGTCTACAGAGTAAGAACAGCTCCTACTAAGTACCTCGCACCACTGCTCTCCTTCAAAAGGATAAGTAGCATACTCTTATGATCTACCTTATCCAGAAATTTTTCAAAGTAGCAGATGCTTTTTGAGACACCATTTAAGTCACAGAGTAAGTGTCTTCACACAGCTTGTTATTGCTGATCAGCAAGTCAGTAAGCATCTCTCCATCCTTATTTATGTGCAACACCTACTACTGGAACAAAATCAGTACCCAGGAAAACAAATAATTTCCAAGATCTACATTTCCCACTCAGGATACAAGTCCCGCTTCGAAACTTTTTTTCCTGCATTACATACAAGACACTTGACAAACATGCACGTAAAACTATGTGTACATGCACAACTGGCACTGTGAACACAAACTGGTACTCTCACAATGAAAACAGCAAGTCTCAGAGCTTAGTTATTCCGAATTATCTTAAATACAACTAGTTATTTTCAGGTAACGTGGACAGAGTGAGTCAACTACTAACTCTTACATTGATATCTTTGTTCATCTTGACAGAGCCACCAAGAAAAGATTTTTTTGGACTAGCAGATAAAATCCCAGTCAGCCAGCTCGACAAACAGATTTTTGTTTAAGGTAACAATTTTTAATTAAAGCTTTGTACGGCAAAATTCATCACCTATTAGCAAATACAGTGTTTTATACTAGTACCAATGGAAAAAAGAATCTTGAACTAAAGAAGGGAAATCAGTAGTGCTGGTGTTAGCATGGGCTTTTTTTAGTCAACCTTATTTCAAGACGACATAGGATAGCAGATGTCTATTACCTGCAATAGCATGTCTATTATCTGTACCGAAACTCAGCTCACAAGAAAGAAGGAAAAAAAAAAAAAAAAAATGGAGGGAGAATTAAGCTTTCAATCCAGCTTAGTGATACGGTCTAGCAGAAACAGCTGTGCATCAGCAACATCTGAGACCTCCTCATTTGAGAGAGAAGCACAGTGCAATTGCAGTCAGCTGGCACTTACCCGAAACGCTGCAAGGATGATCCTGGTTACTTTCTCTTTGACAGATTCCTGAAGAATGTCTGACAACACTGGAACAATATTATATCGACGGAGATATTCACACATTTGAGGGCTAAATGCCAGCAGCCACACACAGAAAATCATCTGATACTGGAGCTGGAAGCCACATTTGTTGCTCAAGACTCCCATGATACTGAAAAATTAACATAGTATACAATTTATTTTTAATTAATGACTGCATAGATTGCATTGCTCCACCCTGAAACACTGAAATAAATGGTTAACAAGAACTTATTGTAAAGAGCTCTGAGGATGAGTATGCAACACACGCATCACAGTATCCTGCACCAGTATTTATCATTGTACAAGCAGTTTGTTCAGAAAGCCATCTTTAAAAAATAGTTATTTCCTCCTTAGCCTCACAGTCATAAAGAAGCTTTTCCCATGTGAACTGATGTGGTACTGTATCCATCTTCAGGTTCACCAAGACTCTTTTTCTACTGGCATGTTTAGGGCATTATTTGTCATTCTAGGAGAAACAGAGCAACACACAGCTACTCCTTCAGAGTTAAGTAAAAGAAGGCAAAAACAGAAAAAAAATCTTCACAAATCTACAAAACTTATTTCTTTAATTATATCTCTCCATGGGAGTGTCCAAAATGAGCTGAAGTAACCATTATTTAACCAGTGAGTTCTCAGAAAACAGCTTGTATATCTATAATGTGTTAGATCTATAAAGCAGTGCTAGAGAAGACGTACTATCACAAGACCTCCATGAAGAAAACTGTAGAAGCTTTGTTCAGCTGAAGTTCTGAAAATTTAATAAGCAATTTACAAGCCATTCCAAAAAAGCTAACCCAATTAAAAAAAAAAAAACCACCCCACACTACTCTCACTACTGATCACTGCTATCAAAATTAAGACAAATTCAAAACTTGCTGGAACGCAGGGTTATTGTAATGCTTTAACAGTTTATTAAACAGCTTCCTTGGTGAAAAAGTTTGTTTCAGCAGTGTCTTCTTGACATACGAGGACATCTTTTGAACTTTCCCTTCACTGGCAACTTTGACTTTTTTTCCATTTCAGAGTACAGGAGTACTTTTTCCTAAAGTGCAAATGATACAGCTACCATCCCCGGTAGAGGCATGCTTGGCAGAAAAGTTATTTTTAGACAGGCATTTTTTAAATAAGATGAGTGATAACATCCTAACCTTATGCAAAGTTATTTATGAAGAGAGTCTGGATAAAAGAATGACCCACTTGAAGCCTTATGAGGAAAAAAAAAATTGAGCTTAGCTCTAGAACAGGTTTCTCTTTTCACTAATATTTTCAGACTGAACAACTCCAAACTGAAAGACAAGGAAGATTAGCAGAAACTTATTTTGTTAGCCCTTGTTCTATTAAATGAAAACCAGAGCATCTTCAGCTAAAGACAAATGGCTGTATTCCCCTTCAGATATTTAAGCAGTTCTTCATGAAGAGTTAAGTAGCATTAAAGCCTCAACATTGGTACCTATATCTGCAAGTTTGTCTATTTGACTGTATTAATGTTTGAAAACAAACAGGTTTTGTACTAAAACAGAGCAGCTGTCTTTTGCAGGAGTTCTATTCCAAAGAGGTCGCTGGGAAATGTGCTATTATAAGTGCAAGTATATCCATATAAACTGAAATAAATGCTCACCAATTTACTCCATCTGCTTCTACCCACGCAAAGCGATATTCATTGACCCTGAGCATCAGCTGCAGGCATCCAGCAACACACTGTACATACTGGGAACTCTAGGTAGAAAGAACAACACATCATTTCTTACACGAAGAAATAGGCAGTAGGTGCCGAAGTTCAGTTTTCCAAACTAGGCTTTACTAGCATACTTCCAACACACATTTCTTCAGCAACACTTCCCGAGTTGAACAGGGTCACCCTTACAATGCTTTGCATCCCCCTATTTAAAAAACAAACAAAAAGATGGGAAGCAAAATGGAGAAGAGTTTTGAAAATGAAAGAAGCGTGATGCAAGTAACAGTGTTTTCCATTACCACCACAGATTCTTATAGCCCATTTGAACATGCCTCCTTTTTTCAGCATCTATGAATGAAGGCTGTCTTCTGTCTAACTATACTGCCAGAGCCCTTCCATGCACAGAAACAATTGTTATTACACTGAGCAAACTTTGGGAAATAAATCAGCAAACTGGTTACCAAGCTTGAAGAAGTTTGCTAGAGGTCACTGCAGAAAAAGGAATCTTGACCTCAGATTCTTCCCACTCCCACTCTCCAACTCAAAACAGCAGTGGCATCACTACAACTGTATATTTTCCTAAACACGAGCCACACAGTAAGTACCATGCTTACCATAATGAGATGTATATTTACACAAAAATTACCATCAGAAAAACAAGTATGCAAAATCATCCTCAAAGTTTAGCTCTGCCTTTTTTTTTTTTTGCCCTTCTTTTAACTAAAAAGGCATTTTTTTCTCTTTTCTTGCTCAACTTCTAGCATTATCTTCCCTAATACTCAGATATGCTGCTCATAAAATGTTGGGCATTTTTTCCTATAAGCTGTTTTCTTTACTAAGCATCTTGAAAGTCTTATGGTAGGTCACTCACACAATACAAGATCAAACCTTTCAAGAATTTCATGGAGTAAAGAAGTTTGGCAATCCCATATGAAGAGAAGAGACAATAAACAGAATTAAAAATAAAGATTAATTCATTTTGTGTCTCTTAGAGATTAACACTTTTATGTAAAAACTGAGTTGGAACATCTAGGCCCAAGTCATGATACAGAACATTCATCTTCCTGGGTAGGTATTCACTCTCACACACTATGGAAATAAAACAGCTATAAACACACAGACAGCCCTCCCACCCCAAATAATGTATTAATTTATCTGCATCACCAACGTGTGTACTACTGAACTTGGAGTTTTCTTTTTAAAGAGCCTGTCATAAAAACATTCACCTTCCAACACTGTTACCATTGAAATTTCATCACAGATCCCAGCCCTCATTTCCTGTGTAAAATGTTACCACTGCATCTCTAATTTACTCTGAAATAAATTAGTCAGGGCCTGCTTGGAAATCCTGCACAAGCTAGATGTGAAATCGGAACACTGATGTAGTCGAGACAATACTTGCCCAACTTAAGTATCCTAGAGCTGCCCTACCAGTTCAGCTGCTTTGGTACCCTGAGTGGTACTGCACATCCATGCAGTGCTACAGGACAAGGAATACAGATTTCCAAGCAATTTAGAAGAGCTCACAGATCTGTAACGAGTGGTGTTGCGTGCTGCAGAACCATATACTCCTTTAAGGCTGTATGACTGAGCCTAACAAAATGGCACAGGAAATACTTCAATGCTCAGGCTGTAATTTTACCCCCTATCCATGGTCATGCATAACAGTCTTTAGTCTTTTCTATTTTAAAACCCAGTTAGGAGGAAATTTAAGAGGCTTTTCTCTACAGGAAGCTAACACTTTAAAGCAATTACTACATTTAGAAGAAAAACAAATTCCAGGTTCATATTTAAGTCTTCTGAAAAACTGTGAACACTTTCAGGCTGCAAAAGGAACAAGAGACCAAACTGAATTCTACTCCATGCTCAAAAGCTCGAATAAACCGCCTCGTTGTGCCACAACAAAACAAAAAATCCACTTATGACAATCACTTGTGTTTGCTATACTGCTGCAGTTCATGTAGCTGTAATGAGCATTGAGCTTGGAGATGAAATTTGGTATAAACAGATACTGATGCAAAAAAGGACAATCCTTTTTCCCCTGAATTCAAGCTACTCAAATATGAAAAGCTTACACCTTTGAATGTACTCTTCTAAGTTCATGCTACAGATATGGAGGGGCAATGTTAGCTTTAATATCCAGCATGCCCTTTCTAAGTTCTGCACAACGGCTGAAAGCCTTTTAGTGTCAGTTTTACTCTGCAGGTCTGACAGTTGAGCCCTAAACAGACAGTATTGTTTAAATACTAAATTAATTGCATATATTTTGTTCAAGATTTAACAAAGAAAATTCTAGATACACCTACAGTTTTAACAACCCAAACCAACTGGTAAAATACATGCTTCCACTGCCAGCATTTGCTGTGAAATCACGGTTTTAAAACTAATTTTGTTTCTTGGCGCCATCACCTGGCACTCTGCTGTCATACACTTCTGATCCCGAGTACTTTCTGTTACTGACACCACAATAGCTCTGCGCCTTAATCCAAGGCGTGGGTATCACCTGCCCAAAAATAGCAAACTGACAGATTTCAAAGATATACTCACATCACTAGTGGAGACTGCTCCGGCTTCCACAGAACCCCCTGTACCACGTAGTTTCTAGAAAAAAAAAAATAAAAGCTTAAAATCAGAGCTGTCCTTCACCTTTACAGAATAGTTGTTACCAAGTTTCTTTTCATTATCCCATCTCTCTAGTCAGAGAAAGAAAAGATTAAGAATCTATTAAATACTTCTCCTGCTCAACACATTGTGATAATATGTTTTATTTATTCTTCTAGACATGACGGGGGGCAAGGAGAGGAGGGGATGTGAAATATCCTTGGAGCTGATCCTGGTATATGAGGATTTAATTTTTATTATTTTTTAAGTATGTATTTACTCAAGAACTTTATCCATCTGCATCTTAGAATACAAAAGCTGTTCTCTTGAATCCTTCTGAAGGAAATTCCAACTTTAAGATTCTTCTTCCAGAGAAAAAAAAGTAAAACTCCTTTTTAACAATACCGGTTTGGAAAGCTGTGAAAAAATACACTGTTACTAAACTTACTGAATGCTTCTCTGCTCTCCAGATACACTTCTGCCACAACACTGCTTTGAGAATGACAAATCACTGGGATTTGATAAGGACTGAAGGGAAAATCTCCAAAAATTAACACAAAGAAGAATCATTTATCTTTGAAGGACAAGCCAGCAGTAAGCATCTCATATCGAGGTAATGTCATAAAAATGCTGCCCAAATAAGTCAGGATTTATTTGGTTTCAAGAGACAGGACTAAAAATAAAAGCTTTGGAATACAGTAAACTGGAAAAAAGTTTTGATAGTTACTTCCCGCTGCCATGCAATTTTTCTTCTCAGCAAAAAGCTCTGAGAAACAAAACAATACAGGTAGACAAAAAGAGCCCTCATCACAAGTTTTCTCAGTGTCCAGAATTAAAGCAGTGTTAGCCAACAGAAAAGGCAAAAGCCTTACATTTTTAATTTTCATTTACATTTCAAGGAATAGAGTAGAAAATATAAAAAAGTTAAAAACTATGTGTCTGAATAAAGGATACTGAGCTTTAAAAATGAAAAAGTAAAATTTTATTCTAAAAAAAAAACCCACCTAAAAATATACCTCTTGTTTGCACATCTATATATTCACATGGGTGAAAAAAGTTGCCAAATTCCCTACAACATTTAAACAGAAGTAGCTTTTTACCTGTGAACTGAGCTGAGTTTTAATCCAGTTGAAATAATAATTCAAGTCACTGCCTTCCATAAGCTCCCTCCCCCATGCAGCCAATTTGGCAATAATTCTTGCTGCCTGAAAAAGAACACAATAAACACATTTTTCAAGTGCCACAATTTCAGGATTCAGTGAGAAGTCCTATAAGCTCTGAAAACCAAATTTAGGTAAAAGATGTCCCCTTACAGAAATTTACCCATTTTCTATGTAGGAGTCTCTTCATGCTTAGTAATGCTGATTTTTCAGCTTTCTGCTGCTCCTACTTCCTGGTAACTGGTATACTTCTCTCAGTGTTCCGATATCCACAGCTGATGAAGTCCACAAGGAAGGAACTCGGAAAGGGGTGGAGGGGAACTACCAATGGGCTACTGATGTAAGACACCATTACAATCAGAAATCCATCAACAGTAAGACACTTAATGGCCTAACACACACGAGTAGGCTCACTTTAAGTAGCTACAGCACATGCCAACACAAATGACGGCAAAGTATTCAAGTTTTTTGTACTTAAACTGAAGCAAGTCATCTTCAAGAAGGGAGAAGTTTCTATCCCAAGAAAAAAAAGGGCAGAAAACCAAAGGGAAGTTAGAATTTAAAAATGAAACTGAGTAAAAGTGTAGTCAGGTTAAGAATTTTCATGATGTCTATGTCAAAACACATGTAACGGGAGCTATTTCTATGCCAGACTTTACAAATTATGTTTGAAGTAACTTCACATTGCAGCCTGCAGCTCATTTGCAGAAACATTTGAGCCAGTTTATATATAAAGAGGCAGTCTAACCAAGAAACTAAGGACTTAGGGGTTTGTTTGCCTGTATACAGCTCCATGATGCAGCAAAGACACTATTCCCGACACATTTCCAATATACTGCATTCATATGTGCAGTACCATTACCACTGATTTCTACAGGGATTATGATTGACAGCTGGGAACCACAATCTCTACACTGAAACACGTCAAATCCCATTCTGAACACAGCCAAGTAACCCTATAAAATCCCTTCAGCTTTGAAACACGAGTGAGATGTTAGATCTCTAGCTTAATATGATCATAGGTTAAAACTGCTACTCAGCCCCTAAATGAGACACCATTCACACACAGCAGAATACAATTTCAGCCTGGACACAGGGCACAAGTATTTTTATCTGTTTATGCAGGTGCAATGATGTGGCATCAAAAGTCTTAAAAAAAAAAAAAAAACACCACCAAACCAAAAAAAAACAAACCACACCAACAAAACCAACACAAACCTAAAGCTTCGTTTTGAAAACATTCATGTGCTTTAAAATTGTTCTGGTTTGACTCTGGCTAGCAAAATA